CCGCGCTCCGGCACCATGCGGGCCAGGTGCGTGTTGCCGGGCAGGGGGATGCCGTCCACGGCGAGCCGCCACAGCGTTTCTTTGTTCTCGTTCTCCCACCGCACCCCCGACCACAAGCGGGCTTGCGTCGCCCTGAAGCGGCTTGTTTCCGCTGAGGAGGAAGGTGTCGTTTCCTGCGGGTGCAACGCTTCTTGCACAAATGCTGCCATCAAGCGTCCCCGTTTCTCCTCGGTGGCCCCGCATTGCAGCTGTGTCGCTAGGCGGACCGTCAGGCGTGTGAGTGGGACGGTTGTTGTGCCGCCCGGCATCTGCCATCCGACCCGCTTTAGGATCATAGCCATCGCCTGAGTGCTGTTGGGGGTGCTTGGAGTATGTATGTATGTATGTATGTACGTACTCCTTACGGTTCAGTCCATATTTACACATAAGCTTAGACGCACTCTGAGATGCTCTCGCATTCGCACAATCCCACTGCTATCCTGATCGTCATCAACACCACCACCACCACCATCATGACTCCATAATTAGCACCGCTACGTTGCGCTGCCCAGTTCGTAAGCCCGCAGCACATGAAGATAAACAGGCTTACAGGCCACGGCTAGCCAGATGAGCTATATCACAAAAGTAGCGATGACCGAAAATGACACACACACGCATACACACACACACACGTGCACACACCTGCCTGTCTAAGGCTATCAAGAAATCCTAACTTAAAACCCGCACCTCAAACCACAGACGCACCTGCATCGTCACCGCCACCGCACCCACACCGGCATAGACCTGCCCACACCACCGCACCCGCCGCACAACCATAACCATACAATCATCCATGCACATCCACACATCCAAGCAACTTGACACAGCGTTAATGGTAAGAATATGCAAGAGGATAACGCTGCTTGATGCTTTTTATGATATGGCCGTGTAAATCCATTACCTACTATGTGCATCTTCCCTGATGTGTGTGTGTTATTATGAAAGGTACAGAATTGGGGCTTTTGGACCCCTTTTCACGGTAGTGTGTTCACTCGTCTCACCCCGGTGGAGCGTGCATGCATGCATGCATGCTCTGCAAATCTACAACAACCGAACAAGTACGCATGTGGCACTTAGGAATCCGTCGGTGGCTGTACCTAACGTTTCGTGTAAAATCCCGAAGGAAACAACCAAAAAGTCCACTTATCGTTCCACTAATCAATCAACAGCTTCCTGTGCCATCAGGAAAGCTACGTGCCGCGTTAGCTTGATCAGCATCACCAAAAGCGTAAAGCAGCGCTTGCAAAGAATGAAAATTTTGGATGTGACCTTCAAGCACCAGTTGGTGGCCGTCGTTTTTCGGCGGTTAATCACGGTTGGGGGTGGCGAAGGTGTGCTCCCATAAATAGGTCACCAGACGCGCAACAACATAACAACGACTTTCGCTTTGGACCAAAACCACAATAAAGACAACAGAGAGATCTAAAGGCTCGAAGTTTTAAAGAAAGGTGGGAAGAAAAAGAAGCGATGTGCAGATGCCAAAAAGACAGCATGGAGAGGTTTCCAGAGACGAGAAAGATTTGGAAAACGATAAGGCGACGGGCAAGAATTGGCAGCGTTACGGAGTCCATTCTTGCAAGCCGATGCCCACGCGCACCTCTTCCTCCCCTCTCCCGACACTCTCCCTTTTCCCCATTTCCCCATTTCCCTAGGTCAGTCCCGACATCAAAGAATGTTTGACGATCCGCAGGGATAAGTCCGAAACATAGCACACAATCCCGGTGGAGAATTGGTTTGGGGCTGATATTCGGCCCCCGGACCTTCCCAGCTCAGCTACCTTCACTTTGGAGCTCCGGCTGCCAAGACGGCCAACATTCTGTACGGCACGGTACGGCGAGGCACGCAGAAAGGAAAGATGGATGTAATGGAAGGGAATATTATGGAAAACGTGTAAGCTGCAGCGGTTAAGCAACCGAGTGTACGACAACCAGGCAGGGGGATCTACCAGGTTGAGATGTGTGTGTCTGTGTGTGTGTCTGTGTGTGTGTGTGTCTGTATCAGTGTATCAGTATACTCGTGCATGTGCATGTGCTCGTGGATATGTGCGGACGTGTGCGTGTACGCTTCCGCGAATTGCCGTACTCACGCCTCCAGGTGCCGTACAATCTCCCCAAACGTCGGCCGATCGTTGGGCGTCTGTGCCCAGCATGACGTCATCAGCCGAGTGTAGGACGGCGGCAGCCACATCGGAAGTGGCGGGCGCCCGCCGTTCAACAGTACTTGATGTAGGATCCGAGCCGCGTTGAGGCCCTTGTACGGCCGCTCGCCCGTGGCTAGCTCCCACACTGTGTATGTACGGCATGTGGAGCGCGTGAAGTGGCAAGAGTTGCAAGGGGAAAGGTGCATGTTGGAACAAAAGATGGAGGGAGAGGAAGCTAGGGACGATAAATCATCCGCGTGCCCATCTGTCTAACGGTGCGCATACGTGTGTGTATGTATGTCCTTAAGAGAGGGCAGGCGAAGGCATTGCAATGAAAGGAAGTGTTATCGCATGCTTAAAAGCGCTTAGCAAAAAGCGTGAAAAGGAGCCAATCTAGGTATATACCTGCGCTTCGAGTACACGCCCCCTTACGAAACGCAAAGCTTTGGAAAGTAGCATTGGTTGCGTCAAAATGCTCTGTGTATGCATGTAAGCGCCATCCATCCATCCATCCATCCATCCATCCATCCATCCACCAAACCCCTAAGCTCCTTAGCGGGTCCTCTTTCGCCTACTCCCATCCTTCTCCTGCGCTCCTCTTTCGACGGCACACACACACACACACACTTACGAGTAATGCCGAAGGCGTACACATCCGCAGGCTGCGACATATGACCCTTGGTCCATAGCTCTGTACGGATGTACGGATGGGTGTACGGCTGGAAGATCGTTATGTAATGTTAGGACAAACAGCCACGAGAGAAGAGAGATGTAAACCCACAAGCTCTTCATTTGATTTTCAGTAATGAAGGAGCTGCGAATGTGATGCGGATGAAAACACATGTCTCGGTGTTGAGGGGACCGTGAAAAGATTCGGACGTGAGCATTCGCGAGAAGGGCTCTTCTTCAGCATGAAGGACGGCAATGCTTTCCGGGGTAAGGAAGGATGAATGACTCCGCCAAGGGTCCGGGCGAGCATGGCAAAGTAGTTATTGTGGAGTGGCCGCAATAACTGCTTTGCCATGCTCGCTGGGACGGTGACCAAAACACACACACAGGTCACCTCCCACATGCACCGCTGCGGGGGGCGAGGATGCCATTCAGGCGATTATCGATCAACTCCAGCTCGAAGCCCCACCCCACATTCGCACAATGGCAGCGACCATGGACGACCAGTAGGCAACCAGGGACCACCACCAATACCATCACCACCACCACCACCACCACCAATACTATCACCACCACCACCACCACCACCACCAATACTATCACCACCACCACCACCGCCACCATCACCGCCACCAATACTATCACCACCACCACCACCGCCACCATCACCGCCATCACCAGCAGTACCACCATAACTGAATGCCTACGGGGATTGAAATCCCCCTCCAGTCGCCTACTCTATACTTGAGAAGCCAACAAACACGCATTACCAGCGCATTTACCAATCAAATCCTATCGATGTGTCGTACCTGGCGCCATATGCGTTGGGGTGCCGTACGGTCGTGTCGAGACGTGAGTACGGTCGCCCGTGAGGACGCGACTCAAGCCGAAGTCACAAACCTGTAAAAGCCAACCCGTAAACACAGAGAGAAGTGGTCGGGTGGTGCTTAAATCTAGTCGGGAATGCCGGGGAGGTGAATCTGAGTGTGTGGGGGGTAAATGAATGTGGCGTGTGTGCTGCAATATCCAGCATCTTTCATCTGTGTTAGTATGCATAAAGTCCTCGAATGAAGAAACCTCATGCATTTCAAGCGCCCCCGGGGATTCGTGCTCGTGTTCGATTCGCACAGGGGTCGCTTTCTACTGCTTTCCCTTCATCAATATTCTCGCCGACCTGTGTTTGATCGCACCTTTGCCATCCAGCCATTCAGCAAGTCGTCGGGGACGTTGGAGTAATTATTGCTGCTGCTGCTACTGTTGCTGCTGCTGCCGGTTTTCGTTAAGCTTCTGGTTTGTGCCTGGGTGAGGGCTTGAGGTGTGCGTTGGTCTGGAGTCTGGCGTTGGTTTTGGCTGTGGGCTTGGACCTGTGCAGATATCTCGGGAGTTCGAGCCAGGAGCACATTTGACAACTTGAGATCTGTTTTAGGGGTTCAGGGGAGGGGAGGGGAGGGGAGAGGGAGGAAGGCGGGGAGTAGGGCCCTGAGGGAGAGACAGCGGAATGAAACAACCCTGATGCAACAAAAACCGGGGCCGGGGACGCAGAGACCAAAAACGGTTCCTTACTAAAAGGGCCAGGAGTGTGTGTGTGTGTGTGTGTGTGTTTAGGTTGTTCTTAAGCGCTCCCCCGGGCACTGCTGTGCTGAGCAGGAACACCTGTGTGTGCCCGTCTCCCCCGACACACATACAACACATGGCCATACGCACACACCCATACCTCCGTGGCAGATTCCCAGGCTGTGTATGTACGACATGCCGTACGCGATGTCCAGAGCCAGACGCAGCAGTACGGACTGCGGGGACCAAAGGCCAGCGGGGCGGCGGCGGTGACAAAGGTGGTACGGCAGAGGGAGAGAAGGGTGCGGGGGGGGGGGCAACAAAGGAAAGGAAAAAGAGACAGGAGGAGAAAGGGAGGGAGGGGGAAGAAAGAGAGGGGGAAGAGCGAGAGAGAGAGAGGAGAGTGAGGAAAAGAGAGAAAGACCCTAGTGAAGGAAAACGAGAAGAAACGCGGGAAGGAAGGTAGGAAGGATGAACGAGACAAAAAGAAAACAAGAAAGATAATTCCTCCAAGCCGGGGTAGGAATCTGATCCCACCACAGTCAGCCATCGCGCCAGTCAGGCAAGAACGGCAAACCACATCCCGCTGCAAATTACTAAACCCTACTTACCCCGCCGTACCTCTTTTTCCCATCATCCCTCCTCCACGTCCATGCTTCCCGACCCCTAACCTCCCCTCTCCCTAAAACCCCGGGGTTAAATAATATGATGTATCATCCCCCTGGCCGAGTCAGTGGATTGCTATTCCTACCTCACACACCCGCACAGCCCACATCCCTTACCAGGTCGGGTCGTGCCTCTGCCCCCTTCCAACGCCCCCAGCGCCAGGCAAAAACACTGCCTCCTTCGCAGAGCTCCATCACCAGGAAGCCATGACTGCAGCCATCGCCCAACTGCGTCTGAGCCGCCAGCCAGATAGCCTCCATCGGTAGCGTCGCCGTCAACGGACCACCTGCCGTATTCGGTGTCGGCGGCGGCGGTGCCGCCGCCGCCATCGTACTCCCGATGCCAGGTGTCGTCGACGAAACCCCCGCCAACTCCGCCTTGTTGCTGGCGTCGCATGCCGCGGCGCCGGCGTCGGTGTTGGCGGCGGCAACGCCGCCGCCGCCGCCAGCTTGCAGTACGAAACCCTTGGACGAGATGACAAACCCCCCTGCAAAGCCGGCCAATTTGGCACCCGTACGCTCCACGTGTTGCTGGCGGTGCCGCTGCTCGTCCCAGCGGGACAGTACGTCAGGGTGGTTGCAGGACCTTTCAGCCTCGGTTTCGCCGCTGTCGTCGGCGGCTGCGGCTGCGGCGACATCGGAGCTAGGCCTGCCGCCACTGGTACTGCCCGACGCCGCGGCCCCCAGTTCCGCCAGCTCACCAAGGCGCGGGTCCGACGGCCTCATACACGACAGCGGCGCGTTGCCATTGTGTGGACTGAAGCCGCCGGCGTTGCCGCCGCCGTTGCCGTTCGACCAGCCGAGAATGTCCTTGGTGGCAGGCACAGAGAGCCGCAACGACATCGCGGTGGCGGCGGAGTGACGGTTACGGTCTTGCGGCAGCGGCGCCGCGGCGGCGATAGCAGCGCCGAGGCCACCTTCGGCGGCGGCGGTGGCGACACACCCACCCGCAGCCGCCGTCCCGAGTCGCTGCCAACCTCCACCTTCCTCATCTCTCCCTTGACCACCGCCGCAACCTCGATTTCCTGCTTCCCTTTTTACTGCGTATCCTCTTCCGTCATCATGAACATCATCACTGCTACTGCTGCTGCTTCCGGCCTTACTCCCTGCTCCACATGCCCCCCACCGTGCCGTCGAGGCCGCCGCCTCCCCTTCAGCCGCCGCCCCTGGAGCCCTCCTTGGGCCTTCGTCCATCCCGCTGCGGCTGCAGCTTTTAACACCCGTGGCCTCATTATCACCGGTCTGCAGTCCCACCTTGCCTCCCGGTAGGACTTCCGCAAAGAAGAGCGCCACGACGACGTTTGGGTGCCTGGCGGGTGATATGGAAGCGGGACAGGGAGAGAGAGATAGAAAGGGTATGGGGGTAAGGGGCCGGGGGAACCTGTTTAAAAGGGGAAGGTGGGCCAGGCTGACGCGGGCACCAGCGGGTGTGAAAGATAGATGGAGCGGGGAGGGGGAGGGGAAGTGGCGGTGCGGTGGGGCCGTGTGGGGGTGAGGCCGTGTGGGGGTGTTTACAGCGGGGAGCTCAACTAGGGCTTTCCTTGCTGGGTGCGCTTGACGTTTTGACCGCTTTCTAGGGGCTTCCGGAGTTTTAAACCGGAGTTTGAGTCGAGTCAAGCTTTAGTCCTGTTTTTCATTTCTGAGATTTTGTGTTTGTACGGTGGTCTCTGTGCAAAGTTATACACATGCCAGCTTCTAAGGGTTTGCACGCTGGGTTCCGGGGCTGGCGAGTCTGGTGGTGTGATGAGCACGTTTAAAACCACGTTTAAAACCACCTCTTAAAACCTGAAGCCTTCCGTTTGTAAGATGCTCGGAGCTGACCGACCCGGTTTCCGTCAGGTGTTGGATAATTCACCAAAACAGGAACCCTACATGTCAGTATCAGCACGAGCAAGCACTGCCAACACACCAACACTAACATATGAATATCAACACACATATCGTACATAACACGCATAATTAAAGAGACAAATACGGGGCTGTTTTTTCCCGTACACAAAACGAATCACACACATTTCCCATCCCCGCACCCCCGACGTACCGAAACGTCTGACTGAGCAGCACTTCGTTGTGTACGGCACGGCACAGCTCCTTGTCGTACTGTAGTACTTTGACGGCCACAGGGCGGCCCTGCCAGGAGCCTGAGGTGGTGATTGAGGGGGGGAGAGATGGGGTTGGCGGGGGGTGCGCTGGGTGGGGTGGGAAAGGACACGGGTTGGATGGGAAACGAGAGCGCGGCGTAGAAGTGTAGGATGTGGAGGCGACTACTTGTGTGGCGGGCTGCTAGCATTACGAAACACCTTCATGCTTAAAACACCTTTTACTCGCTGCCACTGTACATTAACGGGAGTCAACGTGCCCGCTCCTCCTCATTCTGCTTCTCTCTCCCACTCCTCCTCCTCCTCGAGCAATAACTCCCCTCCCTCCCTCCCTTCCCCCCTCCCCATAACAACTACAGCTGTTACACAGGACCGAGGCCTTATTCCAACAAAAACCCGATGATGCGCAGCACCGGGGGAGGCCTTTTCAACGGCGTTGCTACACCTCCCCCCTCCTCCTCCCCCCTTCAAAGCGCACCACAGACTCACCCCGGAAGACCTTGCCGAAGGACCCGGTGCCGATGGCGCTCGTCAGCTCTATATGGCCCACCAGCAACCAGGGCGACAAAGGGGGAGAGAAAAGCAAAAGGGGGAAGGGTTTCAGGTGGGAAAGGGAGTCAGGTCTAGGGGATTGCTACACCGCAGCCCGCAACGCCCCCTTACCCGCCCTCCCGCGGCCTCACGCGCTCTCACGCACCAAAGCCCAACACGACCCCTGAACACCTGACTCCAACTTTGTCATTAACGGCGGGCGGGCGGCGCGGCGCGGCGGGCTCCCGCCTACCGCAAAACCCAAAACATAGCCTTCGGTGAATATCCCAGGCCCCATCTCCCGCCACTCCTCCCGTCCAGGGCCCTATCCACGCACCCTGCCGCCGCGGCACCAACCTATTGTGATGCCCGCCACCACCACCTTCAGTTCCCTTCTCTCCTCCGGCAAGAGCAGCACCGAGTGCTGTCCTCCTCCTCCTCCTCCTCCTCCTGCTGCTGCTGCTGCTGCTGCACCACGTGCCATAGTGATGGCCTCCAAGAGCCCCGCAGGGAAGCTGCACCCCTGTACCTTCCCGCCGCCCGCCCTCGCAAGGTCGTGACTGCTGCAGCAGCTGCTGCTGCTGGTACTGCTCAAGGGGCGGTAGCTTTCCCCCAATGTCATCATCGTCAAGGGGCCCATCGCCTCCAGCATTGTTTTCAGGCCGCCAGGCTCTGCGGCGACGGAGGCGGCGGTAGGGCCTGGCTGTGAGGCTGGCGGCGGCGGCAATAGGGCTGGTGCCGCCGCCGCCGCCGCCTCAGCCGCAGCAGCGGCTGCTGCTGGACCTGATGCTTGGCTGCAGAGAGGAAATATGGAGCGGCGAGGGGCGGGTGGGGTTTGGCGAATTTTATGGCGAATTTTGGGTTGGTTCAAGAGCTTCTCGTTCAAGAGCAACTAACCATGGGGTTAAGGTTTTATGGATCTTTTCGAGCAGGAAACGTGTGTGGGAGAAAGACAGTGTGTGGAAGAGGAGGAGGAGCGGGTTCCGCTCACAGCAATCGCTCAGGTCCCCAGGCCCCCTTCCTTGACCCTCGGCCTCTGTAGACAATAGCCAAGACGTGCACGTGAGCGTGCGTGCATGCACGTGTG